TTTAGCTAATACAGACGACTGAATTTCATTTGCTTCCTGTCCACATTTGGTAGTGGGCCACTGATAACGATTGTTACGTCAATTTTTGCAAGGTCGTCCAATAAGAGAGAATAATCCTGTTTCAACTTGTGTTGTCATAGACGTCTACTGCCCCCACGTGGATCAACAATTTTTTTACCCCGCCGGTCTCAGACAGAAGCTTTGGAGCCAACCGCCTTATCTCAACCACTTTGGCAGAGTGTACTGTGTGAACTTGAGATTACGCATTACGCGACTCAGCTGCATTTGACCTTGACTGAGACTGAGAATGAGACTGAGACTGGGACTGAGAGGCTACTGCTGATTCATCTTCCAAAAGTGGTGAATAGCGGTTCCTTGTAATTAAAGATTTTTGCTGTGGCATTATGACACTCTTGTTATCATTAGCTTTGCCTTGTTTGGGCTTGGCACCATATTTGTTCCAACAATTGTCTCTGTTGATTTAGGGAAATGAAATAGCGTCATCATAACTTACGTTCTGTACATTTGGTCCATTTCCTTTCACTGGTATTGTTGTGTTCAGCCCCAATTCTAATTCAAGCACAAACATTCGGTCTTGAAGTTTTAGCTTCTTTGGTCTCTCTCTTTAGACTCTCAAAAAGTGGCGAGCTCTGTGGACCTGGACAATGTGGCGAGCTCTGTGGATGGACTGACGGCAAAGTTTGAGGATTCTTGTGGGTTGAACTCGGAAGAAGATCAGAAGGAAAGGGGGGAAGGAGCAGAGCCGAGCGATGGTGGAAGTGACGATACAAAGCCCACGGAAAGACAAGGAAACGTACAGGATCAAACAGGTACAGTAGAGGATAACAATAACCAGTCAAAGAATAAACATAGGAATTATTATAATAACTGTGAAATTGGATTCGTTTCTCGAAGTTTGAGCCTGCTGCCTGTCAATAGTTTGTGTTCGTGTCAATCGTGACATCACTCCCAAAAGAGCGATAGTTTCACATTGTGGTGGAGGGAAGCCGAAACAGCTCTCTTGGTCACTATGGTAACTACAGTAACAACGGTCTGTGTCAAAATTCACCTTTTCATGTGAAATGTGAATCTCTGTCTCTCTCTCTCTGGTCTCTCTGGTCTCTCTCTGGTCTCTCTCTCTGGTCTCTCTCTCTCTGGTCTCTCTCTGATCTCTTTGTGATCTCTCTGATCTCTCTATGGTCTCTCTCTCTGGTCTCTCTGTGGTCTCTCTCTCTGGTCTCTCTCCGGTCTCTCTTTCTGTAGTGTCTCTCTCTGGTCTCTTTCTGATCTCTCTCTGGTCTCTTTCTGATCTCTCTCTGATCTCTCTGTGGTCTCTCTCCAGTCTCTCTCTGGTCTCTCTCGGGTCTCTCTCTGGTCTCTCTCCAGTCTCTCTCGCTGGTCTTTCTCTCTGTAGTGTCTCTCTCTGGTCTCTCTCTGATCTCTCTATGGTCTCTCTCCGGTCTCTCTCACTGGTCTCTCTCACTGGTCTCTCTCCGGTCTCTCTCTGCTCTCTCTCTCTGTAGTGTCTCTCTCTGGTCTCTCTATCTTGTCTCTCTCTGGTCTCTCTCTGGTCTCTCTATGGTCTCTCTCGGTCTCTCTCTGGTCTCTCTCTGGTCTCTCTCTGATCTCTCTGTAGTCTCTCTCTGGTCTCTCTGTGGTCTCTCTCTTTGGTCTCTCTCTGGTCTCTCTCTGGTCTCTCTCTGGTCTCTCTGTGGTATCTCTGTGGTCTCTCTCTGGTCTCTCTCTGATCTCTCTCTGTGGACTCTCTCTGGTCTCTCTCTGGTCTCTCTCTGGCCTCTCTTAGGCCTCTCTCTGGCCTCTCTCTGGTCTCTCTCTGATCTCTCTCTGTGGACTCTCTCTGGTCTCTGTGGTCTCTCTCTGGTCTCTCTCTGATCTCTCTCTGGTCTCTCTGTGGTCTCTCTCTGGTCTCTCTGTGGTCTCTCTCTGGTCTCTCTCCGGTCTCTCTCTCTGGTCTCTCTGTGGTCTCTCTCCGGTCTCTCTTTCTGTAGTGTCTCTCTCTGGTCTCTTTCTGATCTCTCTCTGGTCTCTTTCTGATCTCTCTCTGATCTCTCTGTGGTCTCTCTCTCTGGTCTCTCTCTGTTCTCTCTCTGGTCTCTCTCCAGTCTCTCTCTGGTCTCTCTCTGGTCTCTCTCGGGTCTCTCTCTGGTCTCTCTCCAGTCTCTCTCTCTGGTCTTTCTCTCTGTAGTGTCTCTCTCTGATCTCTCTATGGTCTCTCTCCGGTCTCTCTCTGCTCTCTCTCTCTGTAGTGTCTCTCTCTGGTCTCTCTATCTTGTCTCTCTCTGGTCTCTCTGTGTGGTCTCTCTGTGGTCTCTCTCTGCTCTCTCTCTCTGTAGTGTCTCTCTCTGGTCTCTCTGTGGCCTCTCTCTGGTCTCTCTCTGGTTTTATTATAATATTATTATATTGTTGTGTTTAGGTTCAGAGCAGAGAGCAGGAGGTGGAGGAGGTGGAGCTGAGTCCAGGAGGAAGAGCTCTGAGGATGATGAAGAAGAGCCTCCAGGCTCGCTCTGATTGGCTGATTTGCAGTCTGATATTTTTTCCCATCTCGGACCGTTACCATGACAATTGGTCGCGTATCAGATTTGATATCTTTCCGCGGGAAAAAAAAGAAAAAATGAGCGACGACTGGGAGCATTCTCCAGTGAATTCTATTATCCAGACGTGTTCGAAGAGCCAGAGGAAGTCATAACCGCAAATAACGACAAAACACAACTCCTTAAGAAGAGATTGACAACTTCTTAGGTAAAAACACGATTAGGAAAACCAAGTGGGACATGAACATACTTCACAAATATTGAAAAAGCATTGGTAAGGACACAGAAGAGACTGAGAACTTACCAGCGGGAGACCTCAATTGTCTGATAAGCAAGTTCTTCATGTCACCATCTGACAGTTTGGTTGCATGTGTTTTTGCTAAGTAAGTAAGTAAGTAAGTAAGTAAGCTTTATTTATATACCGCCTTTCACAGACCAGAGTCACAAAGCGGTTTACAATTGTTATTTTTTGGGCACTTGTCCTCTCACTCCTCACAGAGATGGGAGCGGGGTCGCCGAACAGGAGGCGCATGCCAGACCTATTGTACATATTTTTAGTGGTAGGGGAAACCGGAGTACCCGGAGGAAACCTACCTACGTGCCGCCCACGGTAAAACAGATCAATATTTGCACAAATAAAAAATAATCATATAATAAAACATTTATTAAAGGGCCCATATCACGGTTTTTGACTTTTCTCTACTTTAAACATGATTACAATGCTATTTGGCCTTCATACACAAGCCTACAGTAGTTTATTCATTGATTCTGTCAATCTTTTGTAAGAGAGCAATCTGTCTCCTTCCCCAGCGTGAGGCACAGAAACGCTCGGGTCCACTTCAGTGACGAAAACCACACTGATGACGCGCATGACCCCGTTTGCTTTGTATTTAAAATAGTTGTTAAATACTTTTGTCAAAACGGGGTAAACGATACACAATTAGTATGCTGTTTTTTGTCAAAAATAATAAAAATAAAAATAAATTAAAAGCCGGCAGGAGGTGATTGACGGATCAAAACAGCGAATCAGAGCGCACAGGCTCCGGCTCCCGAGTCCAGCGTCTGTGGTCTGGTCTCGCGGACACCACATAGAGCTGCTGTTTTTATGCTTTTGTCAGCAACTAAAAGTGTTAGGATCACGTCAACTTGAATGAAGTATGTTATGGGTGTAAATATGTGACACACTATTTGGCCCTAAGAGGAAGAAAGCGGCTCGACTTTTTTCATCTGTTCATCTCATGGATCTATTATAATACCGGTTCATCTGCGACGCTTCACTGAGACTGTTCCAGAACTACAGGGACAATGGAACTGGACTTACTCAAAAGCTGATCTGGATACACGTTATTCCCACGGTATAAGACGTAACTCGGACCCCCTCGATCTGTAAGTAGTGACGCTAACTCGCTGTATACTTCTGTAAACTAAATAACTAGGGTCTGATTGTGCATCGAGGACATAGGGCTCGATGTGACGGATTGTCATTGTTGGAAAAAGTTTATTCTTATGTATGAAATTACTAAGTACAGGTGATAAACGACAAAAGCGTGATGCTACGTCACCGTGCGGGCGGGGGGAGGCGGGCTCACGGACAGAGGAGCAGACTCTTCTCTGGATCAGCTCGTTTGAGTCGAGGTGACGTCACCTCTATACAAGAGATGGCTCTAATCTCACAAGATTTGATTGTTGTGTGGTATATCATACACATTAATATCACACATGTGCATAGGATTGAGTGTGAAACATGAAGAAAAGCGTGATATAGGACCTTTAACCTCGCTTCCTCGGTCTGTACAGAGAAATATCAGACCTTGGTCTTTTTGCACAGGCCTCGCCACGGCTCGGTCTGTACCAAAAGGCCTTTAATAAGCCGTTAAAACCCCCCCATTTGATTATTAGAAGATGTTTCAAATCCCAATCCATGTTAGAAGAAAATAACAGACTGAGGTTAAACAATTCCCTTTTTTGACAGTAACTGAGTTACTGAGAAGTAACTAATTATTTGTAACTATTTACATTTTCTAAGTCATTTAGTGGCGACAGTGGCTCAGTTGGTAGAGCACTGGCCTTTGAGCCTGAAGGTCATGGGTTCGAGCCCACCACAAGACCTACTCCACGGACTCCCACTGGTGTCTACTGTCGGTGTGTCCTTGGCAAGACACTTCACCCCCATTGCCTAGAATGAGTCTGGTGTGTGTGAATGGTTGGTGGTGGTCGGAGGGGCCGATGGCTCTGACCTCGCTTCTGTCAGTGTGCCCCAGGGCAGCTGTGGCTATAGTAGTAGTTTATCACCACCGTATATGGAGTGAATGAATAATGACTTGTAAAGCGTCTTTGAGTGTCCAGAAAAGCGCTTTATGAAACCGATGCATTATTATTATTTCTAATTTATCCAACACTAGTGATGTCACATTAACACAGGCCATTAGCAGAAGTTATTTCAGGATAATGGTTACAGTGATGGAGCTCATAAAGTGAGAACGGTAGCAACAAAGTTTAGCATTATCAGCCTCCTCAAGCTAGCAGGCTAGCACTGTCCCTGGCTCCCTATAATATGCAGACGGTGATCATTCAGCCATACTTTCCCAGCAGCGCTGTCCCCCTGATTGGGAAGCCCTGACTGGGTTTTAACACATGATCTCCTTTGTTTTCTCCTCAGTCACGAGTTGGACCCAGAGGAAAGTCCACAGATGTCTGAAGAGTCCTGGAGAGAGCTGGGCCTGAAGTGCAGAGAGAACCCTCTGTAGGTCCACACCAAGATGAAGATCTGACACTAGAACAATAGAAGTGTCTTAAAGCTGGGGGACCTCACTTCGCTGTTTCATTGATAACATTTACAGTAGTCCATCGTTATAACGAGGTTCACCTTTCACGGCCACTCTGTTTCTGGAATCTTTGGGTGCAATAACAGTGGGCCAAAAAAATATTTAAGTCAGCCACCAATTGTGCAAGACTTACCACTTAAAAGATGAGGGAGGCCTGTAAATGGCATCATAGGTATAAACCTAAGCTACAAAAGACAGAAGGAGAAAAAATAATCCTAAAATCACATTGTCTGATTTTTGAATAATTTATTTGCAAATGATGATGGAAAATAAGTATTTGGCCAACAACAAAAGTTCATCTCAATACTGTTCCATACCCTTTGTAGGCAATGACAGAGCTCAAACATTTATTTAAGTCTTCACAAGGTCTTCACACACTGTTGCTGGTATTTTGGCCCATTCCTCCATGCAGATCTCCTCTAGAGTAGTACTGTTTTGAGGCTGTCGCTGGGCAACACTGGGCATAGATGGCAAGGCAAGGCAAGGCAAGTTTATTTGTATAGCACAATTCATACACAAGGCAACTCAAACTGCTGAACAAGATAGCATTAAAATCATAAATAATCACAGAACATTAAAACGAAAGATAAAAATATAAAATCCCACAGTTGTATGCACAGCTAAACAGCACCGTTTTTAACCTGGTTTTAAACATTGTCAGAGAGGAGGCCTGTCTCACATCTTCAGGAAGATTGTTCCAGATTTTAGCAGCATGAATCTGAAAAGCAGCCTCCCCATGTTTAGTTCTGGATAGATATATCCTAAATCTTGTCTTTGACAGATCATTAAAATCACGTTTGTGTGTCCAGATTCTGCAGTGTGCTCAGCACCAGTGGGACTCCGAGAGGACAGAAGAGAGGAAGGAAGAGGAAAACCAATTCTCACATCCGGTTTTCAGACACAGAGAGCGAGTCTCACAGAAGCTCCACTCTGACTAAGGTAAAACGAAAATGATGTATGTAACTACGGTTCTATGAATCCCGACTGACCACCAGAGCTTCCTTGCGGTCTCTCAAGAAGGCTCTGCAGGAGGAGTGTCGGGTGATGGAGGATTATATTATATGACTTGGATCGTACGTGCGCTCTGATTGGTTGATTTGCGGTCTGATATTTTCCCATTTCGGACCGTTACCATGACAATGGGTCCGTATCACATTTGATATCTCTCCTCGGACCTTTACCATGACAATCGGTCCGCAGCGCGTATCACATTTGATATCTTTTCTCGGTAAAAAAAGAAATAATGAGCGACGACTGGGAGCATTCTCCTATTATCTGCACGAGTTCTAAGTAATTACACAGAAAAACGACAAAAACATAAAATAACAGTCAAGAAGAGATTGACAACTTCGTTACAGATCAGAAAGCTAAAACACAATTAGGAAAACCAAGTCGGAGATCGATATTTGCACAAATTAAAAATAGTCATATAATAAAACATTTATTAACCGCACTTGGTCGGTTAATAAGCCGTTAATATAGCCCTCCTATTGGTCATCCGGTAGTCACAGGTGTGACACATTTGTTATTATTATTCGAACGGTGCATGCGCTCAGCAGGGAGGAAATGGAACTAACTGTGTGACGGGCCACCAACTACAGACGGCAGAACAGTATTCAGCCACCACAGTCAGTCCTCCCAGTTCGAAAGATGAGAGATGTAATGTTCATCATGGATATACCTCAACTATGAGACAAAATTAAAAAAACATCAGGCTTTGGGCTGTTTTTCTGCTAAACAGCCCAAAGCCTTTAATGGCTCTATCCATTAAAGAAGGAATGGATAGAGCCAAATATCGTGAGGTTTGGAGTGAAGGGCACTGAAGATGACCCATGGCTGGTTCTTTCAGCACAATGATCCCAAACACACTGCACAGGCAACGAAGAAGTGGCTTCGTAAGAAGCATTTCAACGTCCTCCAGATCTCAGCCTCATAGAAAATATTTGGAGGCAGATGAATGTCTGTGTTGCCCAGCGACAGTCAGCAACATCACTGCTCTAGAAGAGATATGCATGGAGTGTGAAAACACAGAAAGACATTTTTTTATCCCTGTCATTGCCACAAAGTGAATATAACAAGTATTGAGATGGACCTTAGTTAATGACTAAATACTAATTTTCCATTTTCAAAGATGTTCTGTAAAAATCTTTCTCATGTTGTCTCTAAGATCTCTATAATAACATTTACAGACATCTTTTGAAGTGGGAGGACTTGTAGGACCTGAGTTGATGGCTGACTAAATACTTTTGTGCCACAGTAACTCTGTGACTGATACAAACATGTCAAACAGAAGTGAAAGAAAAACAGCGTCGTGCAGTGGTTCATTCCCTGGTCTCCTTGTAACTCCCTATGCTGCCACCAGAGGGAGCTGCAAACACAGACGTTTGATTCTAAAGATTTAATTTCACCTGAAAAATTACCCAAACTAACTAAACAGTCCTCCCTGTCCCTGCTGAAGAAAAGCAGATCGTAACATGATGCTGCCGCCCATAATTGACACTGGGGATGGTGTCCTCATACTTTACTGTAACTGAATCATGTTTTTAGGTGAAGGACTTTCTGGGCATTGTACAAAAAGTGTCTGCATCAGGTCCCACCTCAGACTGTGACCCGGGACACGAGGACATCACCTCACAGAGTACAGAGACGTCAGGTGAATGCAGAGAGGCACAGGACGGGGCTGGACCAAACTGGACCAAACCCAGACCAGTGGAGGACCAGGAAGACCAGAAGGACCCCAAAGACCACAGAGCACAGACCAAACTGCTGTGGAGATCAGAGGCGGACCAGGAGGACCCCCAGGACCACGGAGCACTGACGAAACAGAGACCAGAAGAAGACCAGGAGAGACCAAATAACCACCGAGCACTTCCCAGTCTGGAGACCCCAGACTTCCTCCAGCCTCAAGCCTCTGCAGGTAAGCAGCAGCAACACAAACTGTTCAGTACAACATTATACACACTATTACATGAAGTAAACTAACAATGAGACCAGATGGGGTTAAAGTGTAAACATGAGGTCTTCGTCTGTGGAACTTTCTCCTATTGCATCAGAGCTCACGTCCTTCGAGTCTGACTCTGCTTTGAACATCTAGAGCAGGAGGGTCAAACTGGTCAGCCTCAGTCTCACTGTCACCCTCAAGTCCTGGAAATCACAGGAAATGAGTGGAATGAAATCCTGGAGCCACACAAGACCATTGAGGACCAGTTTGAAACCCCTACTCTAGAAACCAGGACCAGGACTAAACATGGTCTATAGACACTTCCTCAACAACAAACTCAAAACCACCACTGCGTATTTCGGAAATCTGGTCCAAAGCAGCGACGGCATCTGCCGGAGTGCACTGGGACAGGACGAAGCCTCCCAGAATGCACTGGGACAAGACTGAGATTAGAGAGAATATTTTTTAATTTTCACTTGTATTTTATTCATGTAAATAAATGTTTTTATACCAAATCTGTTTCCTGAACATCTGTGCTCTGACTCAGATCTTTGTTGAAGAGAAATGTCCCTCCATCATTAGGACGAAGGCTGTAGATCCAGGACTCAATATGAACTGAGGGACAAGCTCCTGGTGCTGTGACCAGAGTGTTGAGAATGAGATCCACTTTGTTTATGATTTCAATGTTGAAAATAATTAGGCCCACATTCAGATGTACATTTTTATTTCAAAATTATTAACATTCTATTTAGTAAACAACAAAACGTTAAAATCTGTTTTAATTTAAACATTCATTTGACAAAAATAAACAGCTTTATATCTGACGAATAGTAGAAAACTGCAACAACATAGAAAAGTTTTCATCAGGTGAATTTAAACGTGAGAGAGTTAAGGACAAACCTGTTTTAGACACAAACACAGAAACAGAAACACACACAACAAAAGGATATGAGCTGTAGTCCATCTTCTGTGTGAGGACTCCGCTCAGGATGAACTCTGCGTTGTGCACAGCTGCAAACACCACACACTGAGTTTAGAATGTGTTTATGTGCACCGCACCAGAGAGCGAGACCAGAGAGCAAGAGACCAGGAAGTGCACAGAAAGACACATTGTTCATGTGATTAAGCCCGTTGTCAGAGCAGGGTTATGGACTAATCATTTTGACTTTTAGTATAGAAAGGTCACATGCTGTTAGTTCAGTGTGACATCACAACAAACCAGAGGCTTATGTTCAGGTTTGTGGACAATAGGCTGTGGTTTATAGTGTGTTACTATACTATGAGTTTTGAATCCTGGTCTTACGGATGTCTTTGAGGAAGTACTCCCGCAGAAGGTGCAGGTCGTTGTCGCAGGAAATCAAGATAATTTCTGGAAGATTCTGTGGAGAAAAGAGTTGAAAAGGTTTTTAAAAATTGTTTCCAAGATGCTAAGCAGCACAGGGCCTGGATAGTACTGATGGGAGACCTCTGTCCTAGGTCAGCTGTGGCTTCAAATGGTAGTTACTGTTAAATGGGTTTAAGTGTCATTATCATTATATTAAACTAAAACAGGACTAGCCCAGGACTGAAGCAGGTCTATTCAATCCAAGATGGCCGCGCACACGTCTTCGGGTTGTTTTACTCAATAACTAAAGGCTGTTTTTATCGTTTTAAATGGACTATAGCAAACGAGCACTTGGGTGTTTGACAGAGTAACATATCTGCTAGTGATCTGCTACATCTTGTGTGGATTTAACTTACCGTGTGTCGCATCACGGAGCAGAGGCTGGGACCTGGCTTGAGTCCTCTCCACGCCTCGGTGTCCTGTCAAACGCTGGGACTTCTGGAGTGGACTCCTTATCACACCAGGACAGTCTCTGTGCATGCTTTTTGGCGGATGTTCCCATTAATGCGGCTGTCGGATGGCATCTGGTTCTGTTTGATCGCGGACGTCCGGGGGTTCCCAAGTCCAAGCTACGGGCGATGGATTAACTCTAGTCATCGTGCGGGTGGATCAGCTGGTCTCCGGGAGAATAGTGTGGATGTGGTCGCCGTGTCGGGGTCCTTGGTCTCGCATGGGGAGGCTTCCGTGACTGACTGCTGCGCTCCTGGCTTACAGTTACAGTGGTAACTGTGTCAAGTTTCTTCTCAAAGCGTGTTGACTCCAAATCGCCACGATGAAGTTTCTGTTTACATTTTTGCTGGGGACTTGTTTGTTTTGGTCCTCTGTGACTGTGACTGGCTGTGACAATGCTGCTTATCACCCCCTTCAGGCCCTCTCCAGTGGTACATCTGGCTACAGCGATCTGCCAGTGAAATTGGCGCTGTCTATCTGGGAGACTGTACAAAATCACAGCGATCTGATTCGTCTAAGCTCCCTCTTTGTATTAGACAGATGTTTTGTGTGCAAAGATGTCTCCTGTACTACTCATCAGAAACCACAAGCTGAAAGTCCCGTGTCTATTACCTCTTTTAAAAGAAGAGGTTTTATCCTGCTTCTTCTTTTACTATCCGGCAATGTTGAGCTTAATCCTGGCCCTTTGCCAAATCACAGTGAGACCCCTGAGGATTTTCAAAAAAGATCTGGTCTTGGGATTCTGCATATGAATGTCAGAAGCCTGCTACCCAAAATGGACTTGATTAAAATCTGGATTAAATCCACAAACACCGATATTCTTGTCCTATCTGAAACATGGCTGAATAAATCAGTAGCTGAGTCAGATATTTTGTTATCAGGTTATAACTTGTTTCGCTGTGATCGTCCCAAGAAAGGTGGGGGGGTAGCAATCTTTGTGAAAAACAAGTATGCTGTCACCATATTAGCTTCAGTATCAGTGCAAAAGCAATATGAACTACTTGCCTTGAAACTTGAATTTTCGAAAGGGCAGTCACTAACACTTGTTGGTTGTTATAGGCCTCCATCAGCTTGCAGTGATGCCATCACATCACTGTATCAGCAGTTGATTGGTTTAAATGCAAATGAGCTAGTTCTCGTTGGTGATCTGAACCAGGACTGGATGACTACAGTGTCAGACAAATTAAAATCAGTCTGTGATTCATTAAATCTTACACAGATGATTGACAGTCCTACTCAACCAAATATTAAGATTCCATCTAGATCCTCTTTGATTGACCTGATCTTGACAAATGTCCCTCACAAATACAGTCACATTGGAATTTTTGCAAATGATCTTAGTGACCATTGCACTATTGCTATAGTCAGAAATACAAAATTACCAAAGACAAAACCTCATGTTATTGTGAAGCGGGACCTTCAACACTTTAATGACCAAGCCTTTTTGTAGGACTTGTCCTTGTTCAACTGGAGTTCTCTAGCATTGTTCGAGGATGTTGATTTGGCCTGGAAATATTTTTATGATGAGTTCCTGAGTCTGGTAGACAAACATGCACCCTTCCGTAAATTTAGGGTGAAAGGAAGTGTTGTCAAAAATACCCTTTGACGGACGTGTCTGGGTTGGTGCAGAAACAAGACAAAAGGTTCCAAGTTTAACATCTGTATTTAATTTATCTTTACAATCAGATATATTCAACAAGAGAGCTCCTAAACTATCCATGTCCCTCGCTGGCCCTGTGCTGACTGAGGCCAAGCCAAAGCATATCAGAAGATGTGCAGGAAGAAGGGGGCGTGTCGTATCAGGCAGCTTCTGGTCCCGTGATCCGCCTCCGCACCATCTGGTCTCCTTGTCTCCATTCCACTCCTAAAAAGAATTCACGCTTCCTAACCTAAGGAAATAGTCTCCAGGCAGCTTTCACTGGTCTGGGTTCAATCTCTGTTGTCTAAACAACTCCCCTAATTAGTCTCAACAGCACGCTTTCCTAAAGAACAAACCTATGTGCAGTACAAAACACATCACACCAATAACCTAATATCTAAGTACATGAAATCACCTAAAATATGAAGTAAATATATGTTAAGAAAGGTTATATGTATTATCATATCGACTAATGAGTAGACTAGGAGACTCTAGTCATGTCAACCCACTCATGATTGAGTGAGGAGAAGAATGCAGTAGTCAGGACTAGGGGGTGAAACCCAAACAGCAGAAACCATCTGTTGTTTAGTTGATGGCACAAGAAGACACCTCCGATGTATAAAAAAAGACTGGCCTCCAACCCAGAATTCAATAGGTCATCAAACACATGCGTTTTAGTGTGTCAGCGTATTTATATAAATACAACATTTCCCTCTCTTGACCTATATTAAAACAATTAGGTCACAATCTTTCAATAACCCTTCTCGGGTGACAGGACTGGGGAGATCTTCCATCATCGCCAACATCTTAGTTCTGGCTCGATGTCTGTGAAGAATTAATACAGGGAAAACAAACAACACACAACCACATTCGAAACATATGTTTTTATCTAATAAATCCCTCTATACTATGGTTTGCTTTCATTAACAGTGGCTTTGTGCCCAACGTGGGGTTTTGCTTATTTTTCCAAATACATTTGTTGAACCAGGAAGTGCTGTCACTTCCTCCTCTCAGACAGTTTGGGATGAATGTACATCATTAATCAAATTGGTATTATCCTTACAGGAGCTAATCTATTTTAGCAGGTTTCTCTGGGGTCAGTTCCTCTACAACGGTATTTGATTCTCTAATCAATCAATCAATCAATCTTTATTTATAGGGCGCTTTTCCTGCACAGGGCAACACAAAGCGCCTCACAGTCCACACCACACAATGCACAAATCATCACCATTAAAATACAATTAAAAACACATATGTAATTAAAAAGCATTAAAATCACATAAGTAATTTAAAAACATAAGAATCACACAAGTAGTTAAAAACAATAAAATAGTTAAAAACACAAAAAGTTACAACAATAAATAACAAGGTGTGTTAAAAAGATAAAATTCTCTAGTTGTATGCACAGGAAAAAAGAAAAGTCTTTAACATGGATTTGAACATTGACAGAGAGGCAGCCAGTCTCACATCCTCAGGAAGACTGTTCCAGACTTTAGCTGCATAAATCTGAAAAGCAGCCTCCCCCTGTCTAGTCCTGACTCTGGGCACTAACAAGAGTCCCGTCCCTGCACTCCTCAGAGTCCGGGCTGGTTCATATGGGACTAGCATATCATGGATGTACTTTGGTGCAAGGCCATGGAGAGACTTGTACACCAGGAGAGCTGCTTTAAAGTCTATCCTCTGGGCCACGGGAAGCCAGTGCAGAGACCTGAGGACCGGACTAATGTGGTCGTACTTCCTGGTTCTAGTCAGGACTCGGGCTGCAGCATTTTGAATGTACTGCAGCTGTTTTACTGCATGTTTGGAGATACCTGTGAGCAGGCCATTGCAGTAATCCAGCCTACTGGAAACAAAAGAATGGATAAGAATCTCCAAGTCTGCCCTGGACACAATATTTTTAATTTTGGCAATATTTTTCAGATGATAAAAAGCTGCTGATGTTACCGATCCAATGTGGCTATTGAAGTTTAAGTCAGAGTCCATTATTACTCCCAGATTTCTGACCTTATTTAAAGGCCTTAGGGAGAGAGACTGAAGGTGACAAATGACGGTCTCTCTTTGTTTCTCGGGACCAAAGACAATCATTTCGGTTTTGTCCGCATTTAGCTGGAGAAAATTGCATTGCATCCACTCACTGATCCGCTGGATACAGCGAAGGAGTGAGTCCACCGGTCCATGCTCTCCTGCAGTCAGTGAGACATAGATCTGAGTGTCATCAGCGTAATTGTGGTAGGACACTTTCATACTTTGAATTAACTGACCTAATGGCAGCATGTAAATATTGAACAGGAGAGGTCCCAGAATCGACCCCTGTGGCACTCCGCAGGTCAGGGCCATATTATCTGAGACATAGTCTCCAATCTCCACACAATACTTCCTTTCTTCTAGATAGGACCTAAACCAGCTTAGGGCGGTACCAGCAACACCAACCCAGTCCTCCAGTCTCTGCATGAGAATCTCATGGTCAACGGTGTCGAAAGCGGCACTCAGATCTAACATGACTAAAACAGAGACTTTTCCTGCATCAGTGTTAAGCCGAATATCATTTGTTACCTTGACTAGAGCGGTCTCAGTACTGTGGTGTGGTCTAAAGCCAGACTGGAACATGTCAAATGAGTCATTAGATATTAAAAATTCAGTAAGTTGTTGGTAGGCAACTTTTTCAAGAATTTTTCCCATGAAAGGCAGATTTGAGATGGGACGGTAATTTTCAAGTACCGCAGCATCCAAACTGCTCTTTTTTAGGAGGGGCCTGATGACTGCCTTTTTCAGGGCCATTGGAAATGTTCCAGATAAAAAAGACATGTTTACTATTTGTGTCAATGAGGGTAATAGACTACACATAACAGACTTCAGAAATCTAGGAGGTAGTACATCCAGACTGCAGGTAGAGGAACTAAGACCTGTGATTATCTTTTTAACAGTTTCATCATTGACAGGTGCAAATTGAGCTAGCTCACAAAGCCTCACTGGATGTTGCATTGTTACTTGTGTTGTAGAGGTGATGGTATTTCTGATACCCTGAACCTTGTCTCTGAAGAACTGTGCAAACTCATTACACCTGGATTTGGAGTAGTGTTCTAATGGCAACTCAACAGGGGGGTTCGTTAATCTATTGATTGTTGAAAATAGAACACGCAGATTATTGCTGCAGCCTTCAATAGTTTCAGAAAAGTATAATTCTCTTGTTCTACGTAGTACTCTGTTAAACTCACACAACTTCTCTTTTAAGAGTTTATAATCACCCTGGAGGTTGGACTTTCTCCACTTTCTCTCTGC